TATTATTTTTGAAGACTTAGCACATCAGTTTTATGGACACCTTTCCTTACTCTAACCATTCAACTGCTTCATAGAGTAAATCCAAATGGATCAGCCTGGGAGTGGACTGACTTGATCATTCAAAGTTATTAATAGTCCAAAGTAAACCAATGGACAGAAGTATTTAAAAGGATGCTGTAAATACACTGCATATCTGGCTGGAGGAGGTGTCACTCGACAGAATTTGTGTCACATTATAATTAAGATGGGTGTACTCTGCCTACTGCATCAGCCAGCTTCAGTGCTTTGGAATGCCACCTTGCATATTCCCTGTGCTGCTCCTCCTGTTTGGCAGTGTGTGAAGTCTCAATCTAGGAAGAAGCTCTCAGGGCTGATCAATTGAAGTGGCAAGGAGGATTACTAGGATAAAACTCAGCACCCTTCTCCTTCTTTAAAATGACCATGAGCGTGGCCATTACTTGGTTCCCCTGTTGGCAGTGACCTGTCCACAAGCTGTGCATCCTATCCTTCTCTTATTTATGGGCCTTTGTCTTCTTTTCCTGTGGCAAAGTAACTACAGTATATCAGGGACATTGTTTTTCTAAGCAAAGAGCCTTTCTTGGCTCTTGAGTGGCATGCTAGAGCTGCTATCCACTACTTAGTGGAAGGAGAAAAATTGATTTGATGTTATTTACTTTGTGTGTGTGTGTGTGCGCGCGTGTGCGCGCGTGTGCATGCACCTGAATCAATCTTGACTCCTGGCAACTGCCTGGACAAGTATGTATAGTTTTCTTGGCAACATTTTCAGAAGTGGTTTGTCACTGCTTTCTTCCTAGGGCTGAGAGTGTGTGACTGGCCCAAAATCACCCAGTTGGCTTTGTGCCTAAAGCAGGACTAGATTTCACCATCTCCTGGTTTTAGATCCTGTGCCTTTAACTTCCACACCAAACTGGCTCTCCCATTTAAATTTACTTGCTTAAATATGTTTAATTTGCTTATTTTCCATTCTATGACATTAAAAATTACAACTTGAAAAATTATTTTGGGATCCCTTAAGTCCTGGCGGGGGGGGGGGGGGGG